GGGTCCGGAAGGGGGTACTTGGGCGAGTAGGGGAACGCCGGCGGCGGTTGCGCTTGATCCTAGAGGCCGAGCGGGTGTCAGAAAGAGTGGCCATGGCGTCCAGCGCTATTTGCCCGAGCACGGTGAGGGATGGAATGGCCCTGGAGAGCAGTAGCGACATCCCTCGGGGAGGGCATGCATACCTTTATGTAAACGCGACATGCTCGTGTCGGCGGTGCGGCGAGGAGATTAAACATCTTCGCCGCGCACCACACGGGGGAAGAGCCCGGTACAGCAACGCTGCTTCCGCGCCGTGCCTGTGCAGTGGACTTGCGTGACCTGCCTCGGGGACAACCTCTGCCAATTGGGGCCGATCGAGCTTCGGTGCTGGCGCTGATCCGTGTTCAACTCAATCTAGTCGGGAACACAAACATCCGCCGACATTTGAAGACCCGCGAAATGAAAACAAGATGTGTGTATAACACTGCATAGAAAACGCTGTTTTCGTTCTCCGGAATCTGCTGGGAAAGACTTGATAAACCAAACGCATCCTCGACAAATTCTCCAGTTATCGTACCTTTGATGAAGGAATCCTCCTTTGGTGGTGAACAGGCTATGTTGGCTTTTCCCATGCTCCCCTGAGGAGAAGAGTTTCGTCCCTCCTGGTCATCGAACAACCCTAGGCAGTCCCTAGGCCTGAGACGTGGTGGACTGGAGGAAAGTACGAACCTGGACGAGTTGGGTTGGCTGCGTTGGTGAGGAGACCGTGCGTCGGAGCGCGGATCCGAGTCAGCGCGTCCCCGATTGGCTGGCGGGCAGTGGGCGTCTATAAGAAGCACCCGCCCCAGATACGTACGATGCACCCGGAGGAGGCTCATCGCACGTCCTCTCCACTTGCCTGCTCCCCACCTCGATCCAGGCGCATGCACGTCGCGTCGCTGCCTGTCGTTGCCCTCGATCGCTCTCTCGCCGCTGTTTCTAACCCGATCCAACGCCCTGCTTGACCGTGTCTAATACCTGTCCAGCCCTCCTTGCACGTGCTGCAGCTGCTCTCCCCGCTCTTTCTTGCATCGCGTTCGCCCAAGCCATCCGCGGCCGTCCACATCGTGTCCCGTCCAGCCAAGGTCCAGCTCTCCTCTCCTGCGCCCTAAGCTCGCCCAGGCCGTCCGTCCACCCCGCCTGCCCCCTCTCCCTCGCTCTCCCGTACGGTGCCTGTCCCTCGCGTGCATAATTCACGGAGAACAAAGTGAGCAGTTCGTATCCGTGAATGCTCCTCCCCTAACGCTCTTAGCGGTGGACAGTTATGATGACGATGCGAGTGCGCCCTGCGTGCTCTCCGCCTGCAAACCCGGCACATCCGCTGCGCCCTTTCTTTCCCCAACGCCCTCGACGCCCAGGATCTCGTAGATGGCTCGCAGCATCGGTCTGAACACCCACGTACATCCGCGAACCTGCCCCGTGCATACCTCGTGCGCGGTGCCCGCTGCACTCTACCATACTCCGCCGTCTAATGCGGAACCCAGCCTCCGATGGCACGCCTGTGCTGTGTACGAGGTGGTAGAGGACAATAAGCCCTTGCTTTGGGTACGTTTACAGCCATTTCCGACGTGAACTCCACTCACATGACCAGTTTCAAGGTCCCCCGCGCCCAAACATATCGGCTAACGCGCTTTGAATGCGCAAATCTGGCGGTTTTCGACGCTCACAAGACGCATACACTCCCCCTCGACCCTTCGGCACCACCGCTTCGCGGAGCGCAGCCGTATCGGCGCGGCGAGGCACATCGGCGCCTACGCCTCCAAAGACTGCTCGAGCTACTCGCGTACTTCGACGGCGCCGCCTCGCAAGCTCTTGATGGACTGCCCGTACCCCTAGCGTGGTGCCTCTGCACGCACGAAGACGCCGCCGTCGTCGCTGGCCCGGGACGCCCTCCGGCGCGCATCGCCCACGCACAACCTTCTCGCCGTCCTGTCGCCGCTCGCCCCCCGTTGGCGCGCTGCAGAACACGACGGTCCGGTAGGAATCGCACTGCTCTCGCGTTCGGTGAGTTTCTAGCCCGTGCCGATGTGAACTGCGTTGACAGCGTCCGTTTTTTCAAAGCGCCCGACGCTAGAAATTGGCGTCTCCGACCCCGTCGTCTGAGTTCCGACCTCTTTTTGTTGTAGAAAGACATATACAAACCTTTTCCATCGACAGACAGTACGCGCGAGGCGCTCAACGACGACGCGCACACGTGAGACGCTGCGGGACGGTCATCTCCCGGCAAGATGTCGACCTCGCGCATCGACACCTACCCGTACCGCTCTCAAAGCACGACCCTACTTTCCCCGCGCCACTGTGCATATACCCCGTCAATGTGAGAGTGATCCTGAGAGAAAAAAATTCGCGTCGCATCGGGCGATTTCATGGACACATCCGAAGAACCCCGCACGTCCCCGCCCCCTCCCACGTCCTCGAGCGGCGTGTAGAGTGTGCAGCACGTATACTCGGGCCGCCTCGCTCGTCTTCGACGTCGCCACGCACGCTCCCGACGTCGCCATGGGCGGCTTCGTCGGCGGCATCTGCCGACAAGACGCCGACCTCGCGCTCCGACGCCGCAACAGAACGCTTCCAAAACACAACCAACGGTCCCTCGCACCAGTTTGCGTACGCCCACGCAATTTCAGCGCGATCGGAGCAGAAAACATCTAGGCCGATTTCGCGCATTTCATGGGATCTGGAGCATGAGAACCGCGAAACATCGTCAAATCGCGCTCTCCCGCGTGCCCCTTGGGCCGCGCACCTCCCGTTCTCTCACATATGGTGCGTGGAGCATGTACCAACCCCACCGAGCCCGCTCCGCGCGCAGTGTCGCGTCGCGCGCCCAAAGTTGGCTAGTAGCCGCCTGGGTCGCCCCTCGACGAAAGCTGGGCCTCGCGCCCCGACCCTGTCCGACGCTACTCCGCGAGGGCGACGGCACGTCCCCTGTATCGGGATACACACCCTCTACGAGCGTCGACGTCGCGCCCGGGTACTTGGACACCCAGGCGAGAGGCGACAAAAGCGGGCGTGCCCACTCATGCTCGCGTCCGCCCGCGGCGTGCGCCGGCACACACGTCTCTGGGGGCGTGCTGCACCGTGCACCGTCGCGTGTGCACGCGTCTAGGGAGCTTGAACTCGCGAGGGGAAGTGTGCCCGAGCCCGGACGCGAAGATTCTCAGGCGCAGAGGCGCCGTGCACAGGATGGACGTCGCGGACGTGCTAGGTACGCGGACGACGTCGTGCTAGCGAGTGTCGAATACTTACCTATCCTCGTCTGCGTACCCAGCGCGTCCGCGACGCTCGTACCGCCGGAACCAAGAGACCGGCATCGACGGGCGCGGCCATCCACACCGCGAAGTGGATCTGCAAGGCCTCTGCGGCTCCATCGTCCCGCGGGTGCAGGTCTGGAAGACGACGACGCCCACCTCCTCGTCCGCCACGAAGGGCGGCGCCTGCAGCGGCTGACGCCGCCTGAGAACCATGTGCGCGGCACGGCGGTACCGGGAAGAGATCTTCGCGCGGTGTACGTACCTGTCTCCGCCCGCGCGCCCGCGAAGCACAAGCTGCGACGGGCCAGCTCGTCGTCGTGCCGCCCGCCGCGCCTCGTCAATCATGTACATACGTGGTATCTAAGCGAATCTCCACACCCTTTTCCCTCGACGTACTCCGCTCCGTGCGCCCTGGCGATAACAACGGAGGTCAGCCGCCTTGCGTGCGCGTGCGGGGCCGCTGCACTCACCCTTGTTGCGGAACAGCCGACACGGCCCACAGCGCGCGAAGACGCGGGCGCTGAGAACACGACTTGCTGGGGCGGGAGAATCTGTACTTTGAGGTGAGCGTTTGACCGCGTCCCTGGCGTGTAAGTGTAGGGAACGCTCACTGCGGCCGTTTTAGACAATGCCGGGAGGCCGGATCACCGTACGCGCAGCGCGTCCGCAAAGTCCGTGAAGAGCTCCGGAGAACAAGGCCGCACGGCGGCCATCGAGAGCGCGCGGGGAGCTCGAGTGCGCGCGCGTCGGGGGCACTACGTGTCGGATGGCCATCTGTAGAGATGCCGGTGAGCATTGCACCATGTCCTGGCTTGGAGGAGGCGGTGTGACTCACTTTGAGCGCGTCGAGAGGGAAACGCGGCAAGGAGTCGGTCGTAGCGTACCGATGTCGCCGTGAGCCTGTCTGTGAACGTTCCAGCCACATCCGACTTGTTCGCCCGGTGTCCCACGTCGACTCCATGCCTATGTACCTGACGTCACAACATCCCTCCCGCCCCAACGTCTCGTCCACCACCACACCCAGGAGCTGGAACACGCTTCTCCTGGGATGTCTACGCTGTGAATCAAACATGACGTGAGCTATTTGTACCGCATTCACATTCCAGAACGTCGCGCTCACCTCCGGGGACGTCCAGGTTGCAGGCAACCGGAGCTGTCGAAACCGAGGACGCCTGCGGGTAAGCAGCGAGGAGCCATCTGCTTTCGGAGACGAGGTGGTCACTCACCGTCGAATTCGACAAGATGCTCCGAGTCGTCCTCTTGTCGCTCTGCGTTCGCGTCGCATGGGCAATGTACTAGGAGCGCGCGAAGGCGTCGTTAAGCTGTTGCGCATAGCCTATCGTGAGAGGCGCGCTGCGGGACAAAACGGAGGTGAGTAGTGCGTCTTCGTCCATGCAGGGCGACTCTTCGTCATTTGCGCTGTACTGACGCTCTCTTTCCAGTTCACCCGAATGCCCTCGTGCGAAGCGAAGATACCACGCTGGGACAGACGAAGCCCAGCAGCTCCAGGGAGGGCGTCAACGTCGTGCTGTACCACAGCGCATCAATCGCGCAGGTCTGTGAAACGCAAGTCAGTGCGGGTGCGCCCGAAAGTGTCGGCGCGCGCTGGACCCGAGGTCCACGAGGACTCGAACACGCAAAACACACCGCGCCGTCACCGGGATGAGCACTCACATGGGAGGGGAATCGAGGCGCAACTTGCTTCGTACTGCGAGGATGTCGAGGGCGTTGGAAGATGCTGGAAATCACGAGGTCAGTGCTCTTCCAGACATCCTGCATGACACCGACTCACCTCTTGCATGGATAGATCCCGTGGCAAGGAGGCGTCACGGCCATTCGGAACAGGGGATGGCACGAAGATGCGGAGAAGGGAGAGGGGGGTTTGCGCGTGCCCGCGTCCCCGTCGTGCTCGTACTTATTCTCGTCGTGATTTAGGGCCGCCCTCTCCTTCCCGACCGTACCATGGTCCGTGCGCCGACTGCGTACCGGAGCCAAGCCCTCTTCCGTCGCGCGGAAGCAGTTGCTTACGCAGACGGCCCACCGACGTTACGAGAGGACCGGAGGGACGTCCCGAGCCCGCTGGACGGTGCACCAACCAGAGAGCGACATGGGCAGTCGAAGGAAACGGGGAGAGCGGGGAAGGACACGCACGGACGCACCGCGGGCGGAAGAACCACAGATACGCGGCGCGGTATGTTTCACCATCCGGTCTCGACCTGCAGATGGGGGTCGCGCTCGCTTCGCATGGCAGGCGCTCGGTACGTGAGTCTTGTTTCGAGTGGGCACGGGCGCCGCCGGTATGGGCATCCTTTTCCGCATCGCCGGAGATGGACAAGTCGGTGAGCGGGATGTTGCTCTGGAGGACAACCTGTTCATGGGAGACCTGAGATGCTACCAGCAAACCACTGCTCTCGCCGTGTGTCATTATTTTCATGCCTGTCGTAGCAGTAAATATAATTTGTGAGCACCTTCCCTGTTCCCATACAAACAGCCTTTTACATGAGGTGCGGATGACTTGACAGGTGGTTGCGCAAGAAAGCGGGGAAGGCAAACTCGCAATGTGTCGCTGCGCGCACACCTTCATGTTCGCGCACCACCGCGATTGCACTCGATTGTCAAATATAAATGACTGGCTATGGCTCTGATATTAAACACAGTCCCACAGCACACAATGGACCCGTTCGGGCATATGTGCACAGCATAAATGCAAGTGCAGCCTCGAGTAGATACACTGTGCATTGACAGATTTTGTAATGAATTGCGGACGGCGCACACACATTAGCAGCTCACGGGCGGCGTCCATTGAAAAGGACTTTCCCAGACCCATAGAATGGAGTTGCGAGACACCGAATTGGCTAGAGGCGTGAATTTGAGACGATGCATAAGATTTCTTATATGTGCCCATGTGCCGAAAAGCCTCTACTACACAGAGCCAAGGCTTTTCTCAGCCCAGCAGGCACGCAAAAGAAGCAGAATGACTTGTGGCTTAACGATACCGTGGTCCGAGGAGATTTCCGACAAGCTTCAAGTTCGATCAAAACCATGCGAGATTAACCACCGCCGTGCTCGGCAATTCAAGTCGAGTCTGCCGCCGGCAGTGTCGTCAGTTCCGAGGCAGACAAGTAGCCTCGAAGAAGCATGTGTCGGTATTTTTGAGGGTCAAAGATATCTGGCAGAAGTGCTAACCAATTCAACGAGACAGTCACTGCTAAACACTGGCATGTACTGGCAGGAAGCCCGCTCGCCGCAGGTTAATCCCTTGAGTGCACTGCTGTACTATATCCCCGAGTCTTCTCTATCTAGTACGCACCTGCACTATGCTACCTTCTGCATTCTCGTGCGCTGTGCTGCTAATTTCGGCCGACTCGGAGGATGTATCAGAGTCTGAGGTACTAGCAAACCTTGGCGATGTGTAAGGCGACGGGGGCAGCGGCGGCCGACTCATTCGAGAACACGCCGACCTGAGATCAAGCCAGATACTCGGGCACTCGGGTATCTAACCAGATGCGAGCAGAGACACATGTTCGAGATACGTAGCAACGCGAGCACGGAACATGTCGTGGGCGCTGAGATGAGGGCAGGAGCCGCCAAGTTGCATGGCGCTCACGGCTGAACCGCTGAAGTCTCTGCGGCTACTGAACCTCCTTACCAGAAAAGGCAGGCACACAGATCATCAAGTAAGTTCGTTCTGCCTCTGGCTCGTGCGTGCACACCTTTGACCACCTCCATGACCATGACTGGCTCAATGATCTGGCGCACATCTCTGTGGCATTGAGTATACCTTAGCGACCCGCTCGAGAATGATGTCCACCCAGATCTCGACTGTGAGGTCAGCCGACGGCCCGAGAGCCACAACAATGGAATTGCATCAGACTTAGCATCTGAGATTGGCGACCGACTGTAGCTGTTCGTTTCGCATTTGTTCAACAGCATTGCTTTGTATCGTAAATGAGTAAATCTACAAAAGGCGGAAGTGAAGATGGTTAGGAATAAAGGTGTGAGTAGCATACTAATGCTGCACACATTGCTATTCCTGCCCCCTTCAGTTCTGGACAAATGAGCGTGATAAGGGAGAGCAAGAAAGGCCCAGACCGCTTGGCTTAGATGAAAAGGGCAACCGAAATTGAGCGCAGACAGGCATCATGACCATGCAAGAATAAATCACGGAGCAACTGGAAAATTGACATTTCCTGAGCATGCCTGATGACACCACCTCTACAAACCCATTGGTGTATGATTGGTCCAGCATATAGAGATATGATCCGAATTCATTACAAGCGAGCGGGTAAGTGCGAGTCCAGAACGAACGCGAACCAAGCAGCGCGGACAAAGCCCCCGCAACCATCATCACTTGCCGTCACCCTCAGCCAGGTGGTGCCCACACGCGGCGCAGGGGAATTTCACCCTCCGTCTCAACACCATGCCGCTGGGGCTGGCCACACGCCGGTGCTGTTGACCGGACAACTGGGACGTCTCCCATCCTCTTCCGCTTCCTCGTAACCTGCACTCTCGCCAAGTCCCCGTCCTGCTGCCACTTGCCCATGCTCTGAGATTGCATCACAGACCCCCATGATGCCTCCTCCACATCCTCGCAATGCTGCAAGTTGGAGAGTCTGTTACACCCTGTGAGCACAACTTGTGCTCAACACAACATCACGAAGACGACCAGCCCACGGACATCCCTAGCCAGTCGACCCAACAGCAAGTTTGGTAGCCCACGGAGGTAGACGTATCCACAATGTCTACATGGTGAGTTCCGGATTCGACCTGCACAGCAGCACGAGCTGACTGAGAACACTGCCATGATACTTTCAGGCCTGCCCGCATCCAAAGGCACATATCTCAATCACTCCAGAGGTTCCGGGATGATGCTGTCAGGGCTCGTTTGTAGGCATGCTCCCGCTCACACGACCAGCTTCTCCTCCTCCAAAGGCAGCCGACCCGACAGGGCGCGGGGACTCGGATAAGGCCATTGACTATGCAAGCTCCTCTCCGGCCCGCAGCAGCGTAAACCTGCTGTTTGCGAGCAGACAATTTACTGCAGGACTTCATGGCTACACCCAACAATACCACGGGCCCTGCATGCCCGTATTGAGGCCTCTGCGTCCTGACACGTAGAGAGGGACTTGGTCATGCTCACACGACTGGTGCGTAAGCGGAGAGACATTCTATACGGACACTTCTGACTATAGAGCGTAGGAGAAGCCTCCGAGAGTGTGGCATGGCACCATCACTCGGACAAGCTTCCTATTCCGTACAGGGCACTCGATGCCTGCGGAGTGCAGCAAGGGAGACGGGGAGAGCACTCACGTTTGACAACATCGGCAGCTTTGTACCTTTACGTGCGGCGCTCGCTGTGGCCAGCATCGGCCGAGTTGACGAAGCTGCAAGTGCTGCTTTGCTGAGGCTCAAACTTCGAGTCCACGGTGTTTTCAGGCATGCCACACGGCCGCTCAGGCTTACCGCACTCGATCTTGGTGTACCGGGGTGTCCGTACTGCCACCGGAATGGACCTCTGTGTCTCAACAAACCACCGTTGGTGATACAGCAAGCGAAGGCTTACCAGATCTAGGGCGAGCTCGAGAGCTTGGTGTCGTGTGGTTGCACTGCCGGAGGAGGAGAATCAGTCATGAGAGTATGGATGGTGTCCCAGGTGCGTAGCATACCTTCATCATGCATCCAATGTACTCATTTGGTCCGGAAAGAAGATGCGCGTACCACGGTACGGCCGACGTGAGCGGCGACATCTTCTGCGTGCACGGGCGCTTTACGCCCCGGGAGTGCGGCACAAAGGACCGCTCCGGGAGCCGGACGAGGAAACCGCAAGTGTTATTCTTGCCGCGACTCTCGCGGGGCAGCGGTGGAGCACTAGTATGGCGCGACGCGCTCTTCGAGACTGCGGCTTTCCCTTCGCGCCTCCGCGGGTGATGCACTGGACTCGCACGCATTGAACGGCCCTCCGCGTACTGCGAGTCTGCGATGTCAGTGACAACACGTACGTCAACACATTATGGGAGCACGACATGGCCAAAGCGCACCAAATCCAAGGGAAGTGCGCGAGGTTGGTGTGGTACTTGCCCTGGCGCTGTCGATCGGCGAGGGTCAGCCCGAGTCAACACGGTACCAAACAACCTCCGGTGAGTGTCATACCTGTGCCGTACAAGGTCCGTACCAACCGGGGCTTCCAGAGTCGCCTCACAAAGACCGACCAGGCGACCGCGACGGTGGTGGTAAGGTCCTCCGGTGGGCTCTCCCAGCTAAACGAAGACAGCGTGAGTACTATTTCGAGTTCACGTATTCCGGCCTGTAGCTGACTTGTTCGGAGGCGTACGATGGAGACAGATACCAGATTAACAGAGGCCGCCGGAAACAAGCCCAGAGCGAGGACGAGCAGGCGGCGAGGCCGGCGGTGGCCGTGGTGCAGAGCAGAGACGCGGCGAGCAGCGCGACGCGACTTGGCCATTTCG